TTAGAAAATTGACCAAATATATTACTTTACATTAATAGAAAATGGAGAAAACACCAAGTGATAATCTCAATAGATTCAGAAAAAGCATTTGATAATACAGCTCATGAAAAAGTCCTCATAGTAAGCTAGATGTGAAAAGAGATTTCCATAATTTGAAAAACATTATCTGAAAAAAAAAATCTACAGCCAATATTTTTGTGAATCGTGACAAGCTGACTAGAAAATTTATACGAAAAATCAGAGTCAAGAAGAGCTAAATGTTCTTAGCAGATGATAAGGTGGGAAGATTTGCTCATCCAGATAACAAATAAATGGTGTGATATTGTGTGGTTTGTGTACAAGGATAAACAAATGAAATAATGCAACAGACCTAATTTATGATATGTCATCACCTAATCTATGATGAAGATGCTACTGCAGTGAAATTGAGGAAAGGATTTAGTATTACCTGTGAAAACTGAAGTATTATGTATATGGTATTACCTACTGGCACTGCAGACAGCACATACCCCTAGATATATACCCAGCAGTTATGTGTTCACATTCACACCAGTGGACACGTACACAAATGCTCAGAGCAGCACTACCCATGACGGCACCGAGCATAGAAGCCCAGATGTGAATCGGTAGCTGACTAGTCAAACAAACAGTGTGACATTTATAAAATGCATACAACAACAAAAAGGAAGAGAATACAGCTATACCCAACAGCATGGGATGAATTTCATAAATACTGGGGAGCAAAAGAAGACACAAAAAGACAAAAACAATGGGTCTATTTATTTAAAGCTCAAAAGCAAGCAAAGCTCAACTATACCGTTTAGAGATACAGACTTGGCTAATAAAACTCTTAAGAAAATCAAGAAAGTAATTACTAAAAAGGCAAGATGGAAGTTTTCTTTCCCAGGGATGTCAGGGGTGGGTAGAACTGGGAAGGGGCAGATGAAGAGCTTGGCAGGTGCGGACCTAACACATTGTAAATCAACTAAACTTCAATTTTAAAAAAATTGAAAAAATTGAAAAAGAAAAAAAGAAGTGCTTATTGTGATGCAGTATCTTTTCCATGAAATCTTTTGGAAAGTTGGCACTGCTGTCTGTTTGAATGGGATATTTTAGGGAAACTCAAAGAAGGCTTGGCACAGAATGAAAACAGAAACCACATCGGTGGACTCAGGATCTGAAGGATGAGGAAACAAGGTCATCCGAGCTAAACTCTGTACGCACCTCCTGTATGGGTGAGGTCTCTGCTTAGATTAACGTTATCTGTATGCTTTTCCTTTCTCCTTTGACTTGGTACAGGCTTCTTGCAGGCAGGGACTATCATTTCTTTGTCTCCCAGGGAAGGTGGAAAGGACATGAACTTTGAAGTCACACAGAACAAGGTTCAAATCACATCTCTGACATTTACCTACTGAGTGACCTTGGGCAAGTTTCTTAACCTTCCTGAATCTGAGTTTTTCATCGTGAAGAGGATAATAACATCTACCCCATAGGTGACTTGTGTAAAATGCCTAGCAGAGGTTGTAAACTAGAGGCCTAGAGGGCAGATGTACGTTTCACTTGTCTCTGTAAATTTTTAAAAATCAGATTTCATTTCTGATCTGTTAAAATCAGTAGGTTTCACATGAAAATCCGAGTTTCTGGCTTTACAATGGGGAAATTTGGCCATACTGGGTCCCATTCTTAGATGGTAAAGGTGGTCAGGGTGGAGTAGCACATGGCTCTCTAGATAGGGGTGTTACTTCCACTTAGCCACAGTCCCGCCCCTCCCTATTTCCTTATGCTTGACCCACCTCATTGACACTTCCTGATTGGCCCTTTAGACCCCTGCACTTGGAATCCTGGTCCAGCACATAAAAGAATCTAAATGTCGGTTTCCTCCTTTTTGACCTCATGTATTTGCTGGTTGATTGGTTTCACTTCCTATTACTTTCAGAATAATAATAATAAAAAAAGACCACTTCTTAGAGGTATAGATTTATACTGTGAACATTGTGTAAGTTTTCTATTCCTAGCAATTGACCAACTTTGAGATTTAATGAACGGGTATAACTGAAAGGAAATGTAGAAATAAGCACCGCTTACCACGTGAGATATTGCTAAAGAAGCCTGCTGCCATGTGTCAATTACCGTCTTCTCATCGGCCTCAAAGTTTAACTCTACATTTTCCAGCGAGTAATTGATCTTGCCCTTCAGTATGGCTTTCGTTTTTGGTCTGGATGCAGCTGAATCCGGAGAAACGGATCTTCGAGGAACTAGGGGAATTCTTGGGGAAACAAACAAAAAATAAACATTGAGATTTTATTTCACAGAATTCTACTTTTGTGACCATGTTACTTTGTGAATGTTGTTGTCTTGTTTTAATCTCAATTTTCAAAGTTTTCTTGAAAGAATTCTTTAAATGGAGAAAAGACTATGAAAAGCTATAATCAGATTTTTATGGTCTAGGAAGTCTTAATAACAAGAGGAAACTAGAAATAAGCAATACTAACACATACTTTTTTAGGTTTAATTCTCAGTAATTATGAGGAGGGAGAGTAAACAATTACAATTATAAAGAAATGCAATTTTGAAACGTATCCAGGGCATAAACTTCCAACAAGGAATACATGAGGCATGAAAAGCAAACCAAACAGAAGTGGGCATCGCTTCTTTAAGATGACTAGCGCTTGGCTTCCTGAAGTGGGCAGTTAAAAAGCAGGATATGACAGATGTGGGTTCTGCAAGGGAGTGTCCCATGGAGGCAATGAGAGTGCCACCCTCTCCACCCTTGAATATGGGAGATGAAGGCTGGCTCTTTGTTCTGTAAAGTGCTGTGGGAACACCGTATTAAGCTTTCTCTTCCCTTGCTCTCCACCATATTGCTGCCTCTATGTAGAGATTTTAGAGCTGCTGTTTGGGTGAGGAATGGGCAGAGAGGGGTTCCGAGGATGCCTTGGCTGAAATTGGAAAAGGAACAAGCATTTGGTTTGGCAAACTCAAGTTGCTGGGGAACAGAGCGGTGATGCAGAAAGCTGATTGTGGACTCCAGCAAACAGTCGGCGTGGCCTGGTTTAGAAGCATCAGAGGGGGTTTTTGGACTTGGCTCTTTGATACTTTTAGTGCTTGGAATTCTGACACTGCACCATGCCTATCAAGGCAACGTGTTGAGGCTCTACAACTCAGGATACGCCTACCCACAGGACAGTTTACATTTTAATAATCAGTTGATGCTCAGTCTTGGTCACTGAGACACATGAGATTCGCGTGTCTACTATGTTAAGGTAAAGACTGTGTGATCATCTCTAGATGTTTAATGCAGGACAACATGCATTTCCCAACACCTTGCTTTAGGTGGCGATCATTTAGAAAAGGAATTTGGGTTTAGAATTCATTTACTGGGGAAAGTTCTAGGCTAGCTAGCTCTCCAACTGTCAGTAGATACAAACAGGGGCTGTCACGACTTTCTGAGACTTCACTCCTTCCAGAATAATACAAATATGATAATAATATTACTATTATTGTTATAAAATATTGGTTATAACCATTATTATTATTATTATAATTAAGATGTTGGAGGGATAAAATAGACAAGCTATGGGAAAATGCTTAACAATGTGCTTGTTCCCTTATACACACTAAAGAGATTGGTTGGTTGGTTGGTTGGTTGATGCATGGATTGGCTGAGTTTCAGGAGATACTCCTAGCATGATTTGAGGTTGAGATTGGTGCAGAGTTGTTTTGCAGAAAATAAGAACTGGCTGTTCTTTTGCCTGTTTCATTCTACTAACCAACATTAATAGCTTCCTCATTACACCTGACTTGCTATTTTGTGTTAAGAACAGATTGCACTGCTACTGCAGACAGGGAAACTTGGCCTCTTCTGATGACTCTGATGGTTCATATCACTTTGGGAACTTTTTATTGTTTTTAATGTCAAAGTTCTCTTTCAGCAGCCTGCTGAGTTCAACATTGTTCTTGTACTTGGGTCAAGAAGAGGGTATAGACTTTCCTCCTTGCTTTTCTTGCTTATATGTGGTCCTGATGGGGACATGATGGGACGAGATGGAAGAGGCCCAGAGAGAAATGGGCCTCAGATCACCGTGTAATCCTGTGGTGTTCAGGCCATTTCAAGTCCTTCTTGGAATGAGAGAGGGTGAAACAAATGAGGCAAGAACACGTGATACTCACAATTAAAACAGTGCACTAAGTAAGACTAGGGTGTTACCATATTACACAATAAGGTAATTTAATCACCACTTACTGAGCGTTACTGGGACTAGGTCTCAAGTCTTCCGACTCTCAGACATGGTACTACATGTTTTGAGGATTTCACTTTCTGTAATCTTCACAACAGCCCTTCTTTACAGATAAGGAAACCAAGGCTTAAGAGAGTTGGGGTGACTCCCAACCAGATAAATTGCTTTAATTTACTTAACTGGTAATATAACTGGTAAATAACAGCCTGAGGGTTGAAATTGGATCCATCTGACTCCAAAACCTGTTCACTACCCCATATTAGTTTGTGCAACTCCAGCTATCTGTACTGACTGAGCAAGCCAGTAAAATAAAGTACACACACTACTTTCAATCTATAATATGTAATTCATCTCCTTGGAGATTTAAATTTAACTCTCAGTGTCTATATATTAATTGTTTTTAATCTAAGTTCTTTCTTTTTCTCCTTTCCACAATCACAGCATCTTATTTTCTTGTGATCTGCTTACTGGTCACCAGAAAATGTTACTTTAATTCTTAAGTCTATTTTATTCACTTATTTTTAATTAATTAATTTTTTTTAAGGATTTTGAGGTTTTTTTATTACTTTATTTATTTTAATTCTTACTATTTGCTCTCTTTAAATGTTTTATAGCTGGGAAAGACATCACAGGAATTATCATCACTCCCACTCCTCATTTCTTAAAGATTTTTTTTTTTTACTGAAGTATAGTCGGTTTACAACGTTGTGTTAATTTTTGGTGTTAAGCATAGTTGTTCAGTTATATATATATATATTCCTTAAAAATATGGAACGATTCACGAATTTGCATGTCATCCTTGTGCAGAGGCCATGCTAATCTCTGTATGGTTTCAATTTTAGTATATTTGCTGCCAAAGTGAGCACTAGAGACATTTTTCTATCTGTTCATTGCTTCTCAGGGTTTAGGAACTCGCCCCTCCCCTGCCCCTACCTATTGGGTCTAAAAAAAAAATATTTACAAATTTTTGTATTTCACCAGAGTCTTTGGCTGAAAATATAATTTTTCTTCCACACTTACCACCAAGTTTATTTTCTTGCTGGTGGGAATCTGAGGTTAGACTGTTAATAAGTTTCAGTCTTATGAAGTCATAATCACATATGACTGAGTCTTTACTGTTTCTAAATTCCCTAACCTGTAAAAGGAGACTCATAATGCCTTCCATTTTCATTTATATAACGTCAGTGCACCTGTGCGCACCCACACCCACACACACACATACACACACAGAACAGCTTGGGACCTTTCATGAAAGTGGTAGAGAGTCCTGATCCCTTACCAGAAAACTTTGCAATCAAAAGTCTTTCAGAATACTAAGTATTCCCTAATACCCCCAGAAGTCTGTTGGAAGCACTCTATAACAAAACACACTATATCTCTGCAATGAAATGAGTAAATATTCATTACTGTTGGGATAAATAATATCCCATATTCATATCAATAGTCTTAAATCAAATTGAGAAAAAAGATTCAGGTTTCAGAGGTTTCTTTTTTTTTTTTTTGATTTGGGGTTTGCAGACATAGGAGTGTGGTTTATATTAGTGGTATTCAATTTAAAATTACAAAGCTGTATGTTCAGATTAATTACAGTGCAAAATGATAGCCCCGCCTTACCTAAGCTGGAATTCCAAAATATCTTTACTATCCAGTTGGACCAATGGGATGCGAATAAATCTCTTAGTGTCGTCTGTTGGGATTTTACATTCCATTCCCCTGTAATAATCTTGAAGAAGTATCTTTGTATCTTGGAAACGGTTCAGTTCTGCCTTTAATAGCAAATGAGAATGTTAATACCCAAGAAAGAACAAGCTGATTTGTGCATGTTTTCCATATAAGCTCTGTAAGCACTATTCTAAAACATTTAGGTTAAAATCAGCTTTCTGGAAATTAAGGAAGAGAATTGGCTTCAAGCGTATATCTAAAATTCCCTAAAAATTAAAGAAAATTGATGAGTTTGCATCCTCTGTACTTATTGAGTATAATTCCACTTAACAACATGACATTTTCATGCTCTTAATATGGTGACAAAGGATTGTATGATGGCTGAAGTAGTGTATATCATTCATTACTTTGACATTAAGAGTTCTTCCTGTGTCCTGTATTCAATCAATCAATACGTTCACCAACATGTGAGTGTCTTCTGTCACAGGGAACATATTCATTGATTTAGGAGATAACGAAAATATTATACATACATATACATAATACAGATACAGATATAAAACATTGAAATACAAAATAAGACTAGGCTTTGGTCCTATAGGACTATGTAATGTAGTTGTGGAGAAATAACAAATGGTGACGTAAATTGATAATGAATAGTTCTCTTTCACAGTTTCTGTTCTTGCTCAGTGTGAAGGGAGGGGACACCACTCCTCCACACTCAAAGAGAAACCCCTCTGCTGGCTTTGCCAGGAAGCGTCTTGAGGGAAACGGAGAAGAACAGAGGAGCATCTGTTTTTCACAAGTGACTTCCTGCCAGCCAGGTCATTTCCCTCTGCAGTAATGATGAAGTGTTTGCGTGGTGAGATACTGTGCAGTGCTGATTACACAAACGCAGACCACGAGTGTTCCAACCTGCTCTCCCATCAGGTGTTAGACCAGTTGACATATCTGTGCTGCTTTCTGGTGGTATAATCATGACCTCCATTCTGCTTTAGTTGGTCGGGCTACTTAAACCAGTACCTGAGGGTCCAAAGATTGAAGCTCTTTCGCAGATATATTCTGTGATAGCTAGTTAATTACAGAAAGCCTCATTTCTAAAAAAAACAAAACTGACCCAATGTTCAAAGCCCTTTAGCTGAACCTAACCCAGAATATTTATGAAGGGATCCCTGTATTCATCAAGCAATTAATATTGCCATTTACTTCATAAAACATCAAGAAATTGTCTTGTCCTGCCATATTCATGGTTTTGAACAAATAAATGTCTGCTTTGCATTGTAGTCTGCAACAAAAGATAAGCATGGCTTCAGTAGGTTTGTTTTTGATACAGAAAAGGGGAAGCCAAACTGCTCCTGAAAAGCTGTTCTCTGCATTGTTAAACTTTTCTAGCTTAATGACTGAAACAGGAAGAAATTCATCTGGTTAATTTAAGTCTATGTTGTAAATAAAATTACCATCCATATATTGTCTTAAATTATAGAACATGTTTTAAATACTCAGATTTTAAATGTAGATATATGTCTAAATAACTTCAAACTAGCATTTTGAAATATTAGGAAAATGAAACATTTTTCTCTTTCCCTGCAGAGAAACCAAATGGAGTTTCTAAATATTCACATATGAACTAATCTCATAGTTTGACAATAGATGTCTTATACAAATAGTCTTATATACTAAGCTCATGAGAATCTGCACAATAACACATTTACAATGAGTAGCATGCAAATGTAAACTCAATTGGTACAAACTGGATATTGACAAATAACTTCGGGTTGTAGAGGAGAAATGCTGTGAAGCTGCCAGAAATTATTATTCATCAAACCATAGCCCTACATTATTTAGTAAATATATTTAGAAATCAGAAAATTATTTCCTCCTTAACTTAGAGAACTAAACTCTTTAATTACAATTCAGTTTAGTACCTCCTATTTTATACAACTGATATTTGAGACAGTGGTGGTATGTATGCCTTAGGCTAACCTTGTCTATATTTTATACAGAATATTAATTTATTTTGGGGGACATAATTTGATTTGTTATATAGGTAACTATGAACAAGATGCCATTATATATCCAGAATTCTCATATAAGCAGAATTGATCAGGGGTCCTCTCATCTTTATGACAACTAGTAAATAATGCTTTATTGTTTCTCTTATTGCAGAATCTTAGTTTTGAAAGAAATCTTAGAAATCATCCAGCAGCGCATTTTCTAAAATGTATTTTGCAGAAAACTTGTCCAATAGGCTGTTAATGAACACCACGTTGGGTATAAAACAAACGAAAACTGCAAAGTCAAATAGTTTCTGAAATACTGGGTTAATGTACCAGAAGAGTTTCCTTATTGCAGGTCATCTTAATGTCTTGATGTGTCGACATGCTTGTCAGTCTCCCAGGGAGAGGGAAGGAAGGGTAGAGTACTCAGCACTTCCCAACATGTTTTGATCATCGAATCCTTGTTTTATGAAACATCGTGTAGGACTAGTGTTCTATGGAACCCACTTGGGGAAACACTTATTTAGCCACAGGCTCTTGAAAATTTTCATGGAAGATTCCTTCCCCTCCACAAAAATGTGCAAGCTTCTGCTTATGAGCTCTTGGACGAGCAGCTCAAGTGCCTGAAAAGTCTGTTATTTGATAGTCAATGCTAATCATTAGGCTCTTTCTTCATTTTTTGAACTGAAATCGACTACCTTCCTATAGGTTACAACTTTCGTTTTTATAGGATCCTGTCTATCAGTGCAGGACAAGGATTTTTCCGTTCTATGTGGCTAACCTTTAACTATGTGAACAGCGATAAGAAAGCAGTGGTTAGGGCTATTGGCCCAGGAGTAGACGTCCTTAGTCCAAATCCCAGCTCTCCCACTTGCTGGTGTGTGGCACTTCATCTATGTTTGCCTCTGCTTCCCCATCTGAAAAATGAGGATTATGGGAGAATTTACAGCATAGGGTTGTTGTGAAGGTTTAATGTCTCGTACATGAAAAGTTCTCAGAACAGTGCCTGGCATGTACAGAGTAAGAATTTAATACATACTGGCCTTTATTTGCTGCCCTTTCCTTTACCCTCTTTTTTCCCCATTGGTTTTAGATGTGGATTCTGTTTCTCGGGTTGAGGGCCTTAAATATAGGTATTGTGGGGTAAAAGTTATACCATCTCCAAAAGAGGCACATGGACAAATGAGAATGATTCACAATAATTCTCTAACCCCTTTGCCTTCACTTTTGGATTTCAGTTATTTCTACCATAAGCTTCTAACACACCTGTTCCAACATTCAGTCTCTGCCTGCCCAAACTGGGGTCCCCGGGATGTTCCCCAGGCTGATTTAGGCTGCTGGGTGTCCCACCTTAATCTTCTGCACACTCCATGACTTGTAGGCTCCCACCTGGCCCCCAGAGCTAGAAACCTCTCAGATTTCTGCTTCCTGTGGTCCAAACTGCCCCTGAACCAGGAGGTTGTCCCTTGGAGTCTTAGAAATACTTGCATTCATGGTCATTTGTTGAACAAAGATCTATTGAACACCTACTATTCACTAGCCCTGGTGACTGTCAGCTAAGCCTTCTCATTTCCTGCCGTAACTCCTTCTTTCCTACTCTCCATCCTCACTGCTATTTTCTTAGGAAAAAATACTCATGTAGACAGCCTTCATATTCCCTTCAGCAGGACTAAACCATAGACAGGATTCTTCCTAACTCCAGGCTTCTGTTCTCCCTTTTCTTAAAGTATTTACTTTAGGAAACTTGTCTTTGTAAGTCCATTCTCTGTCCCTTTGAGATGTCTTCTTTTTTCCAAGATCTTCCTGCTGTCTTTAGAAACTAGAACCATCTCTTAAAGGACCTGGGAACCATCTCTTTGAAATGTAAGCATATGAAATAAAAACAGCACCCATAAGTCCCAGTCCTCTAGGAGGAGAGGAGCCCAACTTAGGAAGGTGCCTTGCTCTGAGCCGTAACACTCCTTGTATCATGAAGAGGAGAGGAAGTTTATTTTCCTTTAGGCGACGTCAATCAAGAAACACAGTTTGCCTGTAACACCCCACCTTACCGCAGCTCTTAAAAACTCTCCAGCCTTTACTCTTGGCAGAGCTGGGTTTCCAGACTTGGTCTGTGCTCTCTCTCCTATTGTAGACAGTATCTTGGGATAAAATCAATGTTGGTCTCTTTAACTTGTCCAGTGCAATTCATTATTTAATGAGCTGCAACA